ACATAAGGAAACATCAAATTAATCATCCGGTTGCCTTCCCTGGTTAATGGCCAAGTATTGAAATAAAATGCTGCTGTTATTCACTGTTAGATTTGACCGGTGCGTAAAGCTTGCAGAAACAATCAATAAACTTAACGCATTGTCAAAAAAACAATCGATGCAATTTTCGAAATTTAGCACTTGAAGAGCAAAACACTCTCAAATAGCTGACAATCCATTTTTAATCCGAATTTCCTTTTTCAAATTAAGAACTCAAATCGGCTTACTTTAATAATAAGCTCGAACTGTGCTCTATACACGTTAAGAATACTTGCTTTCCCTAAACCAACCATATACTAGTCGGGTGAACATATATTTTCGCATATTTTTACCCCAAATACCAAGGTCAATCCATGGAGGAAGAAAATTAGGTGGAAATAGAGCACATCAAAACATTTGATTTAGTTTGGACTTTTTAGGCTGAACGCAATTGGACTCTAAAATCAGTAGATTGTCTGCGTTTCTTTTGCCTTCCCCATTGCTCAACACCAATCATCCTCATCTCTATATTTGGTGTAACTATACCAGCTCGTTTCGTAATACGTCTAGCTGGTTTTCTGCTGAAACGGCTCGTAAACACCCTTTACCTACGCTTTTGCCCTTGGTTATTCCTCCAATGAACTCGCGAAATAGATTTCCTAACAAAATATTGCCTCAAAATGACACCCTAGTTCATTTCAATGGCAATCTGCTTAAAAACTGGTGGAGTCAACTTTTTGACGGAAAAGTGTTTGATTATCACAACTTCTCTAATGAGAAAATAAGCTTAAGATTTTTTGATTGTATTACATTTTGGCAGGTTTTCCATTGTTAAAGCCTAAGCAGAAGATCATTTGCTTTTTTTTTTCAATTGAAAGCTTATTCTTTCATCGCCGACTTGACCCGCTTAGCACTATTTTAAATAGTTCAACCTTTGAGATAGACTAAATACGAAAAACCGTAAATGAAGAATAGGCTGAACTAGTATTTCCAACTGTTTGGCTTAAATTTTGATCGAAAGTACTTTTGGTCTTATAACTGGTCTGTGGATCAATTACTCTCAACCATAAGTATAATAAGACTCAAAGCAATTATTCATAGTTGTACCAAAATGTGGAAACTTTCCAACAAACAGAACGATTAAGGCGTGCTACAAATTTTTTGGATAATGAAACAAAGTATTGTCGAATTAACGCATTTTTTCATTACTCTAACATGTGTTGCAATTGTAACTGTCAGGCTATATTCATCCTGTGTGTTATTCAATTACAAATTGTGTTAATCCCAATTAACTTGTTAACTAATCAAAGACTTGGCAAGAAACAAAACATAACCGGCAGATCAAACCTGGGGATAGTGGGAGCTGGAAGACAATGATAATTATCAATATAATGTGATACCTCCTCATCACATATCCATTGTTTAAAATTATGTATTTTCAATTAACATCTGTCATTAGTTTTCACCCTTGGGGTGTGCGATAGACTTACCTCCACGTGGTACCCCTTGGGCAACGTATATTCATACGGCAAAAAAGTCTATTAACTGGCAGTTGACTTCTCACTTCAAATAACCATCACCCCCACTCTATGTCATATTCGACCCCTACTACAGTACTCATCTTACCCTTTCTGAGCCTTTCTGTCCCTTTACACCTGTGAATCACCCTTGTACTCCCCCTCCCGAATTCTGCTCACTTTGATGTTTCTCCTCCCTTCTGTGAAGCTTGAAGTGAACTAAAGGGCTAATGATAACTATCAAAACGCCTGCCATTTGTTATAAATAAAAATAAAAGTTTTCACCCTTAAAAATGCAAAAATTTTGAATAGTCTGCCTTCCATGCAGACATTTTGCAATGAAAGGTTATTTCTTAATATTTTTACACGACAGAAATGCAATGACCTACTTGTGTTCTTAACAAATAATGGTTCACGTGGAATGTGACTTAATTCACTGCGTGCCAAGATAAGGCGTGTCTTTCAGACCAGCAGATACTATTGTCAAAGTATGAAATTTCGCAAAAAAAACTTAGCAAGTTACTTATTTAAAATTGAAGAAACTAGTTGATCAGGGACAAATTGAGAAGTGTCAAGTAGTTACAGCAAATCATTCTTCTTTAACTTGTGGCTACTGGTGGTGAAGACGAGTATGTTGAGAGGCAGTTGGGTGAGAGCAGAATTTGGAATTTTAAACAAAGTTTCTTGTTATTAAAGAATGTATATATATATATATATATATATATATATTGAACGTGTATTGTTTCAGAGTATGATTTGTTAATAATAGTAATTGAATAACCAAGCTTCAAAATTGTTATTTAGGTACGGACGGGAATATTTATTTCATTATTTACCAAGCTAGTTCATTTGCTAAATTCATTTGTAAGCTGGCAAAAATATTTGTCATTTCATTTCAGACCTCAGGAAATTGAGAGCTGATTGGGTCAAACCTATGGATATGAATTAAACTCTCCAGTTT